TGGCTGTATCTTTGGCACTCTAAAAAAATTAAAATTTAATATTACAATTATATATAAGAATTTATAAATTATTATTGAAACTTACAATTTGTTCATTGGATTCTAAATTTTCATCTTTATTTGCATTTGGATATTATTTTGAATATTTTCTAAGCGTTCAGATTATTTGGGATGCATAAAAAAATCAATTAATCTTTTTACTCGTAGAATTAATGATTTTGCTGGGATTAGCCCTTTTCCAATTATTAGTTGTAAAGTATGCGCCCCACATGCTTGCCATTTAATTGAATTCATATCTGAAATGGCTTTTTTCATATTGGTAGCATTATCAGTGGTGATTACAAAGACTTTTTCTCGTAATTTCCACTCCTCTAATGTTTCTTCTAAACTTTCTGCAATATGCTGAGCCGTGTGAGGATAACGAATATGATTAACTGTTAAGGTAATTTCATTAAGTACAAAATTGGAATCAATATAGGTGCAAGTTACTCCAATATAACCTTGCCCATTTTTCATGGTCCATATATCTGTGATTAATGATACACTCTTTGCTTCCACCCTAATTTTTTCAATTAATATTGGCAATGTGGATTTATAGGATTTTGAAATAATTCTCTTAATTCCTTTTTCATTTGGAATTATAAAAGCTGGATCTAATTCATTAATTAATTTACGAAATGAAAGACTTTGTACTACATATAATGGTTGAAGATCTTCAGTTATCCAGTTGGTCAAAAATTGGCGAAGTTCACGTTGCCGACTTTCTTTATGCTTACGAGTATGAACAATAGATGTAATTGTTGACTGATTTTTCTATATTATAATAAGATTATTAATTAGTTTTAACAGCACATAATCCACATATAATAAAAAATTAAGAAAAATACCAACATTCTTCATTTTATCATCTTTTGTTATATCATGTTCCGATGATAAATGATTAATCGCGTTACCGGTTGAACCATCATTAACATGAATAGCTCCACACTTTTTTCCATCTGCACTTAAAATTTTACACCTCTTAAGTGGTTCTCCTTTATCACTTGTTTGTTTATTAATATCTACTTCTTCAAAATATTCCCACGTCCAACTTGATTTTTTTCGACTACTTTTTACTTTCTTTGATTGTGGCACTTCTTCAGAACTTGAAGGACGAGAATGATCTTGTCTTATATCAGTGATATCACTCATAATTATAAAGAATTAACGATGTGTGTGATTAAGGTTGCTTGTCTAAACCTCTTCAAAATCCTACGATTAGTTTCGTCAAAATTTTACTATAGATTTATTATAGTTTCGGCAGAGTTTCAGCAGTTTCAGCATTTATAATAAGTTTTGGCAGTTTCGCCTTTCTCCAAAGTTTCGCCAGTTTTTTAATATAACTTTAATATAGTTTTGGCAGAATTTCACTTTTCGGCGAAACGCCATCTTGCCTAAACCCCTAGGTTTCGGCAAGCAACCTTATGTGTGATAATATATTATAAAATGTAATATAAAATTAATAAAAAAAAATAGTCATTTTTTTTTTGACAATTTTTTTTTTATTTGATGTGATGTAAAATAAATAAAAAAATTTAAAAAAAATATTGTTCAATTTCAATTTTTTTGACGATTTTTTGATTTTTTTTATTTGATGTGATGTAAGATAAAAAAAAATTTTAAAAAAAATATAGTCAATTTTTTTGACGATTTTTTTTTTATTTAATGATTCTGATGATCTGATGATTCTGATCTATCAGGTTATAGACAATAATTACATCACAATGATCACATATTCACAATTTCACATGAAAATTCTCCAACCCGTTTAGCTAACCTGTTTAAACCGTTAACCTGATAATCCGTTACAAAACTGATACCCGATATCATTTGGCGGGTTAAACCAGTTGTACCTGATAGTCAATTTCAAACCCGGGTTGAACCTGTTAGTTAAAATTTAAAACCGTTAACCCAATATTAACGGATATCTGTTTTAACTCGTTAATAACGGTTTACGGGTCTGAACACTAATCTCCTTAGAATTGCAACCTTTTTTAAATAAATGCCAATGAATAATTACCGTTCATTAAAGAATTCTTGTATTAAAGTCTTCAATGAGAGGTAATATTCAAAATAATTTTAATTTAATAAAAAACTAAATAACTGAAATAAATAATCAAATTTCTTTAATAGATACAAAGAATTTGATGAAGATATTTACTTATTGGCTTTCTTTCTTCATCCGCAATATAAAGGTATTACTAATATAAGAAAAAATAATTAAATAAGATAAATAATTTATTCTTTATAAATATTGTAGGAGCGGTTATCCACAATACTCAATTTGAACGTATCCAAAAAACTGCACTTAATATTTGGAAGAATTTGGGTCATAAGAAAACTTCTGGTTTAGAACTTAGGGCACAGCTTCGCAAGTATTTGGACCAAAATAACCCTTATAGCGCACCATATTCAAATAATGATGGGCCTTTTCAGTGATAGAACTTAATAATTGATGGGTATAGCTCATTATCTCGTCTTGCAAAAATTGTTTTTTCAATAATACCACATTTAGCCAGCTGCAAACACCTTTTTTCAGCCCTTGGATGGATGTTTGGTAAAAGGAGAACAAATTTAAATGTGCAAACCATCGAATGTATGTCCAAAATTTATACTCATAATATTCATTCACTTTCAAATAGTAAAAGATCCTTGAATCATATTGGAAATAGCATATCAAATGACGATGTTCAAAAAATGATAGATAATTTATTTGAAGAGGGAGACATATTAAATGAGAATGAAGATGAAGAGGAGGAATATGAAGAGCCATTCAATATACAAAAAGAAAGTGTTGACGAGATGTTAAATATTGAACAAGTGATAGANAGAACAAATTTAAATGTGCAAACCATTGAATGTATGTCCAAAATTTATACTCATAATATTCATTCACTTTCAAATAGTAAAAGATCCTTGAATCATATTGGAAATAGCATATCAAATGACGATGTTCAAAAAATGATAGATAATTTATTTGAAGAGGGAGACATATTAAATGAGAATGAAGATGAAGAGGAGGAATATGAAGAGCCATTCAATATACAAAAAGAAAGTGTTGACGAGATGTTAAATATTGAACAAGTGATAGATTTGGGACCGTAGGTGTATATTGAATCTTCTGAGATTCCATTCATGTTTAATAATAAATATGATAGTAAAAATGACGACGACTGGAATCCAGAAGAGATTGTTTAGTAATACTAAATTGTAATAAAAACAATTTTATTTTGTAATTACTAATATAATATAAATAATAAAAATAATAATGATTCTCTATTCGATAAATAATAAAAAGTGGACAATTTTGTCCATTTTGTAAACTCATGAATCATGTTAATTTAATCTTCGCAATTAAATATAACCAAATTTATTTATATACTAAAAAGTGGACAATTTTGTCTACTTATTCGCAAATTTGCGATAATGTAAATTATTTGCAGATTTGTGGATAATTTGCGGATTATTTGCGATACTATACAGATTTGTGAATTATTTGCGGGTTTGCGGGTTTGCAGATTATTTGCGATACTATAAATTATTTGCGAGTTTGCAGATTATTTGCAGATTTGCAGATTATTTGCGGGTTCACGGATTATTTGCAGATTTGCGAATTATTTGCGAATTTATGGATTATTTGCGGATTTGCAAATTATTTGCAGATTCGTGGATTACTAAGCGCAATTGATTTCCAAAACTCGCAATATTGCAGATTTTGGAAATCAATTGAGGACCCATCTTTAATGGTAGTTCCTTACTATCATATATGCAGAAACCTTATTTTTAATACATTTAATTTCTTTGATCTGCTCAGACGTTAAAACACTAGCATCTCGCTGATAATGAGTTTTTAAAAATCGGCTAGGTATAATTCCTCCAGTATTTTCTGGCAATATTTTAGAATGATAAAANAGTGATAGATTTGGGACCGTAGGTGTATATTGAATCTTCTGAGATTCCATTCATGTTTAATAATAAATATGATAGTAAAAATGACGACGACTGGAATCCAGAAGAGATTGTTTAGTAATACTAAATTGTAATAAAAACAATTTTATTTTGTAATTACTAATATAATATAAATAATAAAAATAATAATGATTCTCTATTCGATAAATAATAAAAAGTGGACAATTTTGTCCATTTTGTAAACTCATGAATCATGTTAATTTAATCTTCGCAATTAAATATAACCAAATTTATTTATATACTAAAAAGTGGACAATTTTGTCTACTTATTCGCAAATTTGCGATAATGTAAATTATTTGCAGATTTGTGGATAATTTGCGGATTATTTGCGATACTATACAGATTTGTGAATTATTTGCGGGTTTGCGGGTTTGCAGATTATTTGCGATACTATAAATTATTTGCGAGTTTGCAGATTATTTGCAGATTTGCAGATTATTTGCGGGTTCACGGATTATTTGCAGATTTGCGAATTATTTGCGAATTTATGGATTATTTGCGGATTTGCAAATTATTTGCAGATTCGTGGATTACTAAGCGCAATTGATTTCCAAAACTCGCAATATTGCAGATTTTGGAAATCAATTGAGGACCCATCTTTAATGGTAGTTCCTTACTATCATATATGCAGAAACCTTATTTTTAATACATTTAATTTCTTTGATCTGCTCAGACGTTAAAACACTAGCATCTCGCTGATAATGAGTTTTTAAAAATCGGCTAGGTATAATTCCTCCAGTATTTTCTGGCAATATTTTAGAATGATAAAAAAATATAAAAAACAATATTTATGTTTTTTGAATAATAAAAAACAATATTTATGGTTTTTGAATAATAAAAAACAATGAAAAATGATAAAAAATGATGAAAAGTAATATTTTTCAATAAAGAATATTTGATATTTTATTTTGACAAGAAAAAATAAAAGATCCCCTATAGATGAAATTTAGTTACGCACATTTTTTTCCTGCTATATAATCATGCCAAGATTATGTTTAATGTGTATACATTGAAAGATATAAAAAATAGAGGACATTGGCTGGGTAGTGCATATGAGCAAGAGTTCAAAAAAAAATTAAAAACTGCTATCGATTTTAACTCTGAAATTATCGACTTTAATGAAAAGTTACAGGCTGAAAATTTGGAGTATTCAGAGTAAGAGGAGGATATTGGAAATAAGATTAGCCAGTTAAATGCGTCCAGTGCTAAAGTTAAATCTCAACTTATTTCTGAATGGAAGTCCCATTCTGAGAGTCAACATGAGCTTGAAGCTAAATATATTGCCAAAATCAAATCGCTTAAATCTTCTATTAAAACACTAAAAAGAGAGGCGACTTTGGTCCAGAAAGCTTCATTCACTAACAAGATCAAGATTTTTTCTTTTGAAGCTAAAGTATATGAATTGGAAGATAAGTTGGATGACTTAGAACTAGAACAGGTGTTCCATGATCCAGATGCAGTAGGAGGACTTCTAGAAGAGCCAGTCCAAATAAATTCATCTGATCCCAAAGAGATCGATTCTCTCAGGTTTGAATTAGAACGAGCGAATGAGAACCTTAGTTCAAAGGAATATACAATAGAATGTATAGAAAAAGGGATAGAGGTAACAGATAGTATATATAAACAGGAGCTAGACTCCTTATCTTCGGCATGATTAAATTTACTAGAGAAAAATGCTTATCTTCAAGAATTACTGTCGAAGAAAGAGCCAAGAGGCACTTCACATAATAAAGTAGATATTCTACCCCTACCTATGAATAATTTATCATGCACAACGCCTTCTAGCAAACCTTCTGCTTTTAATCCTTCATCCCAATAATTTCTGTAGGTGGCGTAGAAAAAGTGGTGCCATTACCATTAACATTCTCTCCTTTGAGTCCTATCATTGTGAGCTCCTTGATGTCACCGATAATAATATATTCTATATTTACCTTACTACTGGTTGCAATTATATGGATCATGGTTAGGAAAAAAATATGGAATATATGGAAAAAAAGTGACCAATACGTTCAGACTAGCGATCTACACCTCTGGGCATATCTGAAGCCGAGTTATATGATCAGAAGTCAGAAGAGATTACCACCTCATAACCAAATTAAATATAGAAATTGAAGTTAGCCAGTATTATTGCACAAGAAAAAAAAATATATAAATAATATTATAAGTATTCTAGATAAGATTGCTTGCCAAAACTAGGGGGTTTCAGTGGGAAGGCGTATGCAAAACTACTGAAACTAATTTCGCAAACTATCTTAAAATGCCAAAACTGCCAAAACTGCTAAAACTGTTTCAGCGTTTCGGCATTATTTCTTATAATGATTTACTATAGTTTCAGCAATTAATATGAAATTTTTACCATTTTAAATTAATTATACCGTATGGGTAGATGATCGGCCATTAATGAAAAAAGTTTAATCAACATTTTTTAAATTAAACATTTTTTTTTAAAATAAATAATTTATCAAAAATTTTTTTTTGTTTAAAGAAATGGGTAATTAAAAAAATATATAAAAAAAAGCTATAAAAACGAAATTCTTGAAAAATACCTATTGAATATGGAATTTATTTTTTTTAGTTCTTTTAGTTTGGCGATCTACTCTGCAAGACTCAAAGTTAGTTTTGCGCCTAGAGGACCCCGCTTACTTCTAATAGAGGTCTCCGAAAATATAAGGTAAAATTTATATTAAAAAAAAATTTTAGGTCTCTTAATAGATAAAGGTAAAATTATATATATGACAAATAAAGGTCTCCGGATATGTAAGGTAAAGTTAAAATAGGTTTCCGGTTTTATAAGGTAAAATCAAATATAAGTTTACAAATGTTTCGGTAAATAATAAGGTAAAATTGTATATAAAATTTAATATTTACCTTATATAT